ACTCTGTATCGTGCATTTGCTATTGGTGTGCTATTAGTTTGCAGTTGACTAGTCTCAAGTTGGCAATTCCATTCAATCTATTTGTGATTTCATGGTGACTGTGATAAACTGATAATAAATACAAATCCATCTTTTGGAAATGTGTTGCTATCTACATACACAGAAACTCATATTGACTTATATTTAGAGAAGTTGCAATCCTATTTTTACTCTAGTATGATTGAGTATGATTGGGTAGATCATACTAACAATCACCAATAACACAAATGTCTCAAATGTTAATTTTAGGGATTATAATCTACACGTGTTTCTTCCCAATGTTACGTCCTTCCATTCATATCCCGGACGAGCCCCCACATTGTTACGTCCCCCCGAAGGGGTCTAGGCATGCGAGTGAGGGGACCAGTAACAAATCCAGTCCAGAACAGAATGAAAGGAAAACAGATGTTTTTAGTGAACAGCTAGGGCTGTAACACCAAAATGAGTGCAAAACTTTTTACAACTAGCTTTACAGACCGCTAATCATCATCTTCTACCTGCTCCCTTTAGGAGTCGCCACACCAGATCATCTGCCACCATTTCATCCTCTTCTGTCACAGCAACACTCTGCATGTCCTTCTCTGCTACATACATGAGCCTCCTTTCAGATCGTCCTTTTCCCCTCCTGTCTGTACCCCCATTACTAGAGGTAGGAATCAAGAAAATTGTTCTCTATAAGAACCAGTTCCAGTGATCCAATTCTTGGAATTCTTAGTCTGCTTATCTATAAAACCCGCTTATTGGTTCCAGTTACACTGGAAATAGCTGCATTTTGCTGTTACCACTTTGGCTCTTTGTAAGCATCTGCACAGACAAAATCCTATAATGCTAAGCTAGCCAAGAACCCAGAATGAAAGCTGAGTGAATGCTAACCCCGCAGGCAGACGCTGAACTTCAACAGGTAACAAACTGACGACGACAAAGTAGAACAGAATCGCTCTGAAGTTTCTTTGTGCCATTTGTTGTGTGATTACCTAAATACTAAATAGAGAAAGATAACATGTGTCCTCATTAGCATATGGATTTGTGTTGGTGTGTGGGGCCTCAGGTTTACAGTATTAAACAGTAAATATGACATAGTGTGTTTCAGATATTTTACAGAGTAACATGAAAGTAATGGAACAAGTAGTATAATGAATTACTTTCTCCTTGGAGTAATTATGTAGTGTACTCTATTACTTTGAGGAAAAGAGTGTTCTTTGTAATATGTGTAATAATTACTTTTTTTGAGTAACGACCCCCTCGCTGATACCAACGCTGATCACAACAAAGAAGGGAAATACCTCCAATATGCAAAAACATTTGACTCACAGCATGCAGTTGGTTTACATGAATTTCTTTGCAGTGGCGATGTTTTTAAAGTGGAGCCACTGCAAACACAACAAGAATCAATAAGGAATCTAACTAATCAGTGATTTCCATTCCATGGACTGCTAAATTCTTATCAATTCTTATCAATTCCCATGCCTTCTCAATACTGTCCCTGCCCTCATACACGTCCTCTGCCACCCCTGATGTCCCTGTGCAGTACCACGGAGCCTCTCTTGACACCTTGTCATGTGATTTCTCTGGGGGCACAAACACAGTGAAACTCCTTGTGATCTTCTCTATAGTCTATTCTCTTATCTGGAACACTTTAAGATATCTTGATTGATTTCTTTCTGCCTCAGAAGAGACAATGACAGATGAATGACTGATGAATAATAAATATGAACAAACAGATAGGAATCAAAAAGCCACAGAACAAGAACAAGTGCCATACTATAAAACAAAATAAAATAAAAAATCAATTAAATTACATAAACATCCCACATGATGTCAAAGGCCGAGGAAAAGAGATTTAAGAAGAGATTTAAAAACAGACAGAGAAGAGGCTTGTCTGATGTGTAAAGGCAAATCATTCATATTTAAGAACCGGAAAAAGGAAAAAAAAGTCTCCTCTTAGCTTATGCTTAGTTTGAGGAGCAGCTGATCAACTGACCTGAGATAAAAGGACGGTTGTAGCATCTCAGAGCAATAGAGTGGGGCGAGATGATTAAGGGCATTAAAAGCAAATAAAATAATTTAAAACTTAATTCATGGGCAGCCAGTGGAGTGAGGCTAAAATGGGAGAAACATACTCAAATTTGTGCATGTGAAAAGATCTGAGGCTCTGTTCTGTACCAACTGTAGTGATTAAGGAGCCAATAACCTCTACATGAAGTGTATTACAGTAATCCAGCAGAGAGTAACAAAGGTGTGGATTACTGTCTCAAAGTGCTGCTGAGAAAGCTTTATGCTGGCCAAGTGCCTCAACTGGAAAAGACTCAATTTTGCCACTGCCCTGATTTGACTGTCAAACTTAATTTCAGCGTCCACCTTAACCCAGAAGTTTGTAATCGTTGGCTTGATGTACTGTGGAGATTAGGAAATTATTTTACTGTTACTATTCATAACCATTATCATTACGATTGCATTACTTATCATTTCATCGAAGCATTTATTGAAGCTGTTGATGTTACATTAAAGTCTGTATTTTAGCTGTTAGCTTAATTACATGCTAATCTTTCATTGCAGGTGCAACTGTAATCATGTTATACACATTGTATTTTTGTGCTTATTAAAGAGTTGAAGCTCGGTCAGTTAATTAATGGTCTGAAGCTTCGGGCGGCGCGACGTCCGGCCGATCAATTGAGAAATTCATCGAGCTATGAAAGAATTGCATACATGCTTACAATACAATACACCACATATAACCTGTAAATACAATACATGCCTGTGTGCACTCAGCAGCCTGCTGCATTGGAGTTTGCCTGGTAACAGACGACTCAGAGTAGGTCATACACTGAGGTCAAGACACATAAGTCTGCCTGTGCACACATACACAGTATATAGACTTGTTTTGCTTGTAAACGGCATGCTCATGTTCTGTTCTGAAGTGCAGTAAGTGAAATAACAGGAGCAACTGGCGGTGGCGGAGGAACAAAGGAAGGAACTGTTCTTTTTTGAATGTGTCCAAGGTCGGAATTACTGGAACTGATGCATTTTATCTATCTGCTTGGACGCACAAGGGGCGTTATATTTCCTGATACCCTGATGTTATAAATACAACTGCTCATTTATTGTTCTGGGGAAATCAACGCTATTTGTATGCCAGTGCTCATCTCCACCACACGTGTGTGTGTAAATAAAATCATTGTTTTGACGCACAATGGACCTCCAGTTGTTTGTCTCTCACCTCAAATCACGAATCAGGACAGTACTGAACAAAGGAACACAGCTCGACAAAAAGGGTCCGAGTTGTACGCCCGAACACCATCACTTCTGTTTTTTTCTCATTAAAATTTAAAACATTAAGAGCCTTCATGTCTTCAAGACACCTGAGCAGCAGTCTAGAAGAAAACGCTTCATTACTTTTAAGAGGGACAAAAATCTTGGTATCGTCCACACAACAGTGTAATGAAATACAATACGTAAAAAAGAGGAGGGAGCCTAAAACTGAGCCCTGTGGAACTCCACATGAGAAAGGAGCAGAGGATTCAAAGGCTAGCACAGAAGGTTTGATCCCGTAAAATTTCATGATCGATTGTGTCAAACCCATCGTTTAAATCTAAAAGTATAAAAACAACACAGTCACCAGAGTCGATAGCTAAAAACATGTGGTTAAAAACTCTTAAATGAGATGTTTCAGTGGTGTGTAATATTCTGAAAGCAGACTTGAAACCTCTAGAATGGTATTCTCTTCATTCACTGATTGAAAATGATCCAGAAATTTAGAAAGAACAGGAAGCTTAGCTTATAGGCCTGTAGCTAGTGAGAACTGTGGGATCCAGAGATGTTTTTTAAGCAGAGGTTGAACGACTGCATGTGAACAGAAGGCCCTACAGTACGGAGAATCTCTTTAAACAGTCGAGGAGGGACAGTATCATTTGGTGACTTCTTCAGACTGAAGAAGCCACTTGGATGAGTGATAAAATGTTTCTCCCACTGAAAATGCTATGTCTAGATCACAGGTGTCGAACTCCAGATCTGATTTAAATGGCTAAATGAGCTCCTCAACATGTCTTGAAGTTCTCCAGAGGCCTGGTAATGAACTAATCATTTGATTCAGGTGTGTTGACCCAAGGTGAGATCTAAAACCTGCAGGGACACCAGCCCTCGAGGACTGGAGTTCGACACCCCTGGTCTAGATCAACAGAATCAACTCTTTGGGATTTTCTCACCTGGACGATTGAGCATGTATCCAGAAAGTTTAAACTGGTTTCAAGACGGTGTAAATTGGGCAATGATGGATGCCACAGATGATAACACATTTTCTGATGAAAATATTTGTTAGGAGGCATTCCTGGTATTATTGTGCAAAACCTGTCAACAAATTTCCCCTTGACAGTAAGGTAATAGGTGAGCATGTAGTTACCCTCCGGGTCCAGTAGCCTCTCTATCCCCAGGTGTTGCTCTGCCTTACTGAAGGCATGTTCCAGTCGGTCGACTGCCGAGGTCTTCTTCTCCACAGAGCTCCAATCAAAAAGTTCAGGCCTGGCAAGATGAAAGAGAATCGGTAGGTATCATACACACCTTTTATCAATAAAAAACCTTGCATTCCTCAGTATTTTGTAGTGCTTTAAGGAAATTAGCAACGTGTTAATAGGAAACAAATATCCTGCAGCTTATGCAGCTGGGTTTATTTTTGAGTCCTGGAGGTTTATTTGCTGTGGAGTCATATTTTAATGAGATTCACATTCTAATTTTTTCCCCACAGCAAACAATAAAAACAGACTTTTATAATGCAAAATAGCTTGTTAGAAAATACTGAGTGAAAACTCCTCCACTGTGCCTTCATGTTCATGGTGATGGCTTTTGTTTCCCACTCTGCATTCTTGTCAGAACAAGGAGAAGATTTATTTCACTGAATTTATTTTCTACTCAATGCCAACTTATTTAAATTTAAACTCGATCATTTATTCATGTTAGAACGATCACTTTCTTTACTGTAAAAGCTTAGTCCTACTCATGTACACTAATATCAATAATGAGTAATGATGAAAAGAACCAAATGCACTGCAGGGTCCTTTCTGTAATTTAATGATCATTTATGCTGACCACCTTGATTAAACTTAATCAGCTTCTCATCTGCATCATATTAATAGCAATAGCTTTATCAGATACACGTTTCCCTGTTATTAATCTACACCAGGATACGTCTATCAGCTGGTTTCCTGATTGGGCAGCAATGCACACTCTGTTGCAGTGATTGCTGAAGTGTAGGCTGTGAAGGTACTGCAGGGCTGCAGTAAACAGAAATTTAGTTAGAATAGAATAAAAAATAACAATTTGAGGTGGTAAGTTGGTTATGGTACTCGTTATTCTGACTTACTCTATGAACAATTTCAATCTGGTTTCTGCCCCAATCATAGTACAGAAACTGCTCTGTTAAGGATTACCAATGATTCTGGTCTCCTATCCGTCCTCATCCTTCTGGATCTTAGTGCGGCGTTTGATACCATGTCTCATAATATCCTCCTGAGCAGATTAGCATCCACTGGCATTAGTCACACCCCCCTTCACCTCCTATCTCTCAGACCACACTCCGTTTATCCAATTTAAATCCCATACTTCAACTCTCTATCCTGTTTCTGCTGGTGTGCCCCAGGGTTCAGTATCAGGGCCTCTTTTATTCATTATCTACATGCTCCCTCTTGGCCAAATATTCCAAAAATATAATACCAATTTTCACTGTTATGCTGATGACACCCAGCTCTACATTTCCTCCAAACCTAATTCATCCCTCCCACCTACTGCCCTCTCAAACTGTCTTATGGAGATTAGATCCTGGTTCTCCTCCAATTTTCTCAACCTTAACAGTAATAAAACAGAAGTTTTACTTGTTGGCACAGCCTCTATCTTAACCACAGTTGTTCCATTAACATTGAAAGTTCTCCCACCCTTCCCTCCCCTCAGGTTAAGAGTTTGGATGTCATACTTGACAGTACTCTCTCATTTCAGTCTGTCTGCTTACTTCCATTTACGTAACATTAACCGACTCCCTTCCTTCCTCCCCATGCTGCTGCCATCCTTGTCCATAGTCTTATTACATCCCATATTGATTACTGCAATTCCCTCTTATTTGGTCTCCCTAAAAGGTCTCTTCATAAACTCCAACTTCTTCAAAACTCTGCAGCTCGGGTCATAACTTGCACTCCGTCAAGAGCTCATATTACCCCAGTTCTTCAGCAGCTTCACTGGTTGCCCGTAGAAGCCAGGATAAACTTTAAAATCTTACATCTCACGTACAAGTGTATCCATAAATCTGCTCCTTCCTATTTGTGTGACCTGCTCCATATCACCACTGTTTCCCGCCCTCTCAGATCCTCATGTGCTATTCATCTTACTGTTCTGTCCACATGTCTCATCACTGTGGGGAGCAGAGCTTTCAGTCGCTCTGCTCCTCGGCCCTGGTACTCTCTTCCTCCAGCCATTAGAAATATAGACTCTTGCATTTAAGTCACAGCTCAAAACACATCTGTTCAAACTTTAGTGCTGATTTTATCTGTTGTCAAGCTCTGTTTTGTAATTTTAACTTATTTTATGTACTTTATGACTATTGCTTCTTTTATTAATTTTGTTCTTTTGTAAGGTGACCTCAGGTTTTTCAAATAAAATGTATTATTATTATTATTATTATTATTATTATTATTACATTTATTTGAAGTTTGTGTTGCAGTGGCAAGTGGGTCACACTTTGGCCTTAATAAGTTGCATATAACTGGCAAACACTAGCAATTTATAGCCAACAGCATGTGTGGTCTACGTCTTTTGAATACAGCTTTCACTTGCTCTTGTGTTTGGGATTCTCTGCCATGATTTACGATTTGACACTTCTGGTGTTTAAGTGGGATGCAGCACTTTATTGATTCAACTCAATTCCATTCAATTCAATTTTATTTATATAGCGCCAAATCACAACAACAGTCCCCTCAAGGCGCTTTATATTGTAAGATAAAGACCCTGAAATAATACATAGAAACCCCAACAATCAAACAATCCCCTATGAGCAAGCACTTGTCACTGATTGGTTGGGGTTGAGGGAGGAGCCTATTGCAGCGTAACTAAGGGAGGATTCAGGGTCACCTGTTTCAGCCCTAACTATATGCTTTAGCAAAAAGAAAAGTTTTAAGCTTGTTGTTAAAAGTAGAGATAGTGTAACTGAGAGTTAGGGCTCTGCCCTTCAATTCTACTTTTAAAACCCCCAGAGAACCACAAGTAAACCAGCAGTCTGAGGGTGAAGTGCTCTATTGGAGTGATACTGTACTATGAGGTCTTTAAGATGAGATCGGGTCGGATTATTCAAGACCTCGTATATTTTTTTCTACATACGAGCTTTCTCTCTAACATTCACACACATTCATAATTTGATGGATGAATTGAAGAATAACTTGGGGTTAGTATCTTGCCCAAGGACGCTTTGCATGCAGACTAGACAACTACCAACTTTCCAATTAGTAGATGACCCGCTCTACGGTCTGAGCTACAGCCAGCCCGTATTACAGGGCCGAGCGTACCGCTGAGTGCCGCTAGTTTATTCTTGAGCTTATGAATGAGTTCCTAGCAACTCATTTCTTACTCCACTAACCATGGAAAAAGAAATTAGACTAACCAACTAGTCTGATGATTTTCAGATAGTTTACTGTGTTTTTCTTCTGAAAACTGTTGCTTCCTAAAGTTAAAAATAAGGCAAAAGAAATGCTAACTTAAAAAAAAACTACAAACAATGTCTTAATGCAGGGGTGTCGAACTCCAGGCCTCGAGGGCCGGTGTCCTGCAGGTTTTAGATCTCACCCTGGGTCAACACACCTGAATCAGATGATTAGTTCATTACCAGGCCTCTGGAGAACTTCAAGACATGTTGAGGAGGTGATTTAGCCTTTAAATCAGCTGTGTTGGTTCGAGGACACATCTAAGACCTGCAGGACACCGGCCCTCGAAGCCTGGAGTTCGACACCTGTGTCTTAATGCATGGATGATTCCCAGGTATGGATAAAGCCAAATGTTCCTCTGGAGATGATGGTCCATGACACAAATGTTTTATCAGTCATTTAAGTGATGTCAGTCTCATGGATGAGTGATGGAAAGTTTCTCCAACAGAACACACTTGCCCAGTTGAACTGAATCCACTTTTTGAGGCTAAAGAAACAGTTGTTAGATGCTGATATGCTTACTAAAACTGAGCCCTTTCACTGATTACAGATGAGCCTCCCAACACACAAACTCTTGTCTGTTATTTACATTTTTAATTTCTCCTATTTGAAATTAGCTGGATCTTGTAAGTATAAAAACCTTTGATCAAAAATAATATTTAAAAACCCTTCTTAGTCCTCACTCTTACATCAGGACTAAGACTTTATTTTACAGCATAACAACTTTGAGCAGAAGGTGCAGAAGAGCCAAAATGTAATATCACAATATGATGACACATGCTATTGTTTCAGGAAACTGTACAGTTGGATTTATTACTTCAGTAAAATAGCACAGGGATGTAAAGTAAAGGGACAGATCTGGCTGATCTTAATGAGTGCAGCACAAAGGATGTAACATCGATGTGAAGCGCTGAGGTTTGTCTCTTTGTCATGATTAAGCCATTATCAGCTTCCTGGTTAGGCCAGCCCTGTGCTTTGTCAGCCTTATCCCACTTGACATCAAATCATGTACTTGTGAAAACAGCAAACGCTGGGAAAGAGACGCTGAAGTGTGAAGGGGAACAGAGAGAAGAGTCGGGTTAAAGCTCGGATGGTTTACATGTGAAACGCAGAAAGGAAAAAAGAAGAAAGGGGGAAATTCAAACTACGAAACAGTGAGGTTCATTTTATTATTAGAGCAGCCTCAAGGTCATTATGAAAGTGAATAAGCAACATTGTTGAAATACTGTAAATAAAGTCAAATAAAATCAGTTGTTTACTACATATAGATGCTGATGCAACTGCTAGGTTACTTCAAAATATACTGCATTAAATTATAATGCGGGAACTTTATGATACGCCAAAATTCTGTTTGAGGACATGTTCTTCAATGGGATCGCCGTGAATTTGAATTGAATACCCCTGGTTTAAAGTAATGTTATTTTTCTTTCTCTCAATGAACAAACTATCATATTTATAGGTTCATTTTAAGTTTGGCATCAAACTCAGAGGCAGATAGTTGGGTAAGAAATGCAAATCCCTAGAGACCAGAGAGAATGTGGGTCCAGGAAGGACTTGCTCCGCCCATTTAATTCTGGAAAAACAATAAGTGCTTCAGCTGTGGCAGCATTGGGATGTTAGTCTTTTTACTTGGCTGGCTGCATCTTTTCACATACAATAATTTTTGAACCTTTTTCTCATGACAGCATTGGCATCTTCCATGTCTAAAATATATCTCTTTAGTGCAGTGACTATATTTGCTCTACTATCCCTTTGAAAGTCTGTCTATCCACTTCTCCCGTGTTAAATCTTCATCTGAACACACACACACACACACACCTACACCCATGCACACACACATACCTGTGGCTATGGATGAGGGCATTGAAAGCCAGTCCATCATTCCAGCTACTGGAGAAGTTAACCACATTGACCTGAGGACAGAGATAATGGATGTTCAAGAACCAACCTGAGAAAGCAGCATGACATTTAAGAGTGGAAATACTGTCATCCAAATACTGTTTACATTTCCAGTATAGATTAAAGACATTTCGCTCTCAATTTCAGTGAGTGGATCAAAATTTTAATACATGAAATGATTGTCTACGGGGGCAAAAAGGGTTTAAAATTGAATATATAGCTAAAAAAACATAGTAAGAAGTCATCTTAGTAACAGTGGCTATTCCTGTCAAGCACTTCGTATAACGAGGCTCACATGTTTGCAGTGATTATGGACGGGAATCAAAGAACCGGTTGCCAGGAGTTCAGTGCCTTTTTAGTCTACTTGCCTATTGATCGTGCTGATCGTTGCAGTTACAGCGACGCAGTTTACAGTGTGGATGTGGACATTATTTTGATTTTTAGTGCACAAAAAGATGTGATGGTAAAGTGTAAACTGTCTCCAGGAAAGAAACAGCTGCATTATGCTGTTAACACAACTTCAGCTCTTTGCAAGCACCTGCACAAACAGCCTGCTCAAACTATGTCATATGTTCTGTTGTGATTGGTCTTAGTTAAGCTTCAGCTTACACAAAACAAAACGAGTCAAGTCCAATGACAAAAAACATAAATTAGAGAGTTATTAACCACATGGTATAAAACTGTAAATATATGGAAATATTCTATGGTGCAAATATGTCCTACTGATACTGTTAAGAGTATTTTTATATGTCATGTCTCAGTCTTTTTAAGTTTCTACATAGTCATAAAAGCAATATGATGACATATATCCCAAATCTGAATCAAGCAAAAAACTTGATCTGTATAACATTTTTAATGCATACCAATTACAATTATTGTTTTGATCAAACTTTCCAAATTCTGTTGCCAAATATTTAACCAAACGAAAATGTAACATTCTGATATTATAGGGTTAGGGCTAGAGCTTAGAGTTATACTGATTATGATTTTGCCCTCAAAGAATTTATTGATTATTCTTTGGCTCAGAGCCTCCAACAACCCTTAGAACATTTTAATAGCCTGTCTGGCAGCTTTGCATTGACAATATGATCTGAATGCACTGTTGTGCCTAACATACTTGCTTTTCCAAGACCACCTTTATAGATTCTCTATATTATTTCTGTTGTTATTCTTTTTAATCTGTTTATTTACTAATTTGTCTTATTATTATTTCTATTATTACTCACACTACACGTGCAATTTAAGAATGTCAAAGCTGACATACATGGAAAGAGAAAAAAGGGACAGAAAGAAAAAACAAAGGGGGAAAAAGGAGGAAATATTATAGGACAGAGCAGGATTGGAAAGCGCAATCGGCTGGCAACTGCTACAACTGTAAGGAAAACCATAAATAACATAAACAAACAAAAAATAAAACAATTTCGTTGTGTTCTGTGTATCTGTCTTCGTCAACAGACGGACTTCATAATGAGGGTGAGTCGACACAATAACGGTCCTCCGGGGGCCAGAGGCAGACCCAGGAGACCCCCCAGAGTACTAAAGACCTTTCTTTCATACTCTATGAAAGAAAGAATAAATTTGAAAGTGGCGACTGCCATTACTTACAAGTACTTGAGCACTCAGTTACAGGGCGGTAACTGTAGTAACTATGGAAGACAGCTATTCCAACATGATCCATGTGTCAGCCTGTGAGGTTAAGAGTAAAGGAACATACCTGAGGATACTGGCGTGTATTCTGACGAACCCAACTCAGCAGAATCTTCTCACTGTTAGTCTGCTGTAGGCCCTCCATCACATCCTTCATCACATCCTTAACCTGCACACAGGAATACAAAACA